GGGGGGCAGAGAGAAAGTAACTAAGTGGGAGGAGGGGTGTGGGAAATGGTTCGACTCGACCCGGAAAAGAGAAACCTGGGCAGAAGAAGCGGCCTAAAAGGCTTCGGAGAGGACGAAGCAAGAGGTTATTCGGCAGGAGGAAAACCGCCTGAGAGCAAAACACCTCGTGGGATCCGAGGGTATGGTGGAGCGCGTGGGCCCGTAATCTTTTTACGCTCTTTAGTAATGAAACGGAGTTGGAGGCAAAGGTTTTTCAGAAGGGGAAAGGGGTGGGATTGGGGGAATTAGCCTGGAGAGAACAGACGTTGGAACAAAAACAAATAAAATAAAATAAAAATAAGATTTAAAAAAAGAATAGGGAGAGAAACTTTGGAAAGGGAATCATAGTCGACGGGAGAGAGAGAGAGAAAGAAGAGAGAAAGGGAGAGAGAGAGTAAAGGTAATTACTCGTGGTAGCGGGTATGTAAGCGGAAAACCACTAGTAAGGGTACCGGTACTGGTATGGTAATATCGTCGTCACTCATACTGGAGGGGCCGCCCGGAGGATTAACTCTTATTTGTCCTTTGTCTTGCTCCAGGAGCGGAGTGCTGCCGCTTTGTGGTGACGGGTCCGTTGCCAGTAAAGTAGTCCGACCCACTCCTTTTCCTTTTCGTGGATTTTTATCAGGACCCCAAAAAGAGTCACTGGTGGTTAACCAGATTGCTTGTAATAATTTCTCTTTCAAATGGTTACTCTGTTGGATGGATATGGATGCTGTTCGTTCATTTCTTTTTCATTTTTGTCTTTTGTTTTACCCCTCTCTCACTCTCTTTTGTATGGTCTACCGACTCCTCTCTTTGGCCCCCCTCCCCCCTCCCCCCTTCCCCTCAATTGCTCATCGATGAGATACCGGAGGATGGTGGTGATGGTAGGTAGATAGATAGGATAGCTGATGGTCACTCCTCGTAACCCCGGCTAAGCTTTCCTTGTTCGAATGTGCCTTCTGCTTCTTTACCTTTCCCTGCTCTTTTGTCCCTAACTTACCACTCCTCTCTGTCTGTCAATTTTCCCGTCCTTTCTACTCTTAAGCGGCAGCGGCAGACTCCGCCGAAGTTTGTGGCGAAATCAAGGAACAGGAGAAGGCGACGACCATTTTTTTTTTTTTGGTTCTCATTTCTCATTTCTTTTTTTTTTCTTGTGGCATTCTTCTCTGGTCCGTGATCTCTTTCTTACCTTTCTCTGTTCTATCAAACCCCACCGATGAGTCTGTTGTGGCGTGGAGCGTTATCCAACAATACATAGAATGTAGATATGAGGTTCAAAATAAACTTATGGTACGTAGTCTAGTCGAGGATTAATGTTGATAGGGGTTTTAGAGCTTGGATAGTCTACCCGCGATTCGGGACGGACGGTGCGCGTGTCGAGTCCTGGCCGCAGGGAGGCTGTCGTGAACCTAGCGTGCTCTGCGCCCGTGGATACTCACCCAAGATCGTTGGTCAACGTCCGGGCTGCGTGGGTAGGTAATCTATTTAGTGGACAGGCGAAGATGGAGCTAGGAATGGCGTGCCCTAGGAACGGCTTGAACGGTCTAGGTAAAAGCCTCGACGACTAGGGGCAGAGTGGGTGTAGTAGCGCAGCCCGGCGGAGGAGGGGGGGCGAAGCGAGTACCGCGTGCAGGGTCCGTAGCAGAGAGGGAGAGGAGCGGCTCGACAATAATGTTACTGCTGTATCTAACGAGCTTCAGCTGGAGACAAGACAGGTCCAGGCCATGGTAGAGGGGCAAGGCGACAAGACTGAGTGGCACGAGGTAACTAATCATCACGCAGAGATATTATTCAAATGAATCAAATCATCAAGAAAAAAAAAACAGATTGCACTTGATCGTACGGAGTAGATAATGGTAGTGGTACTCTCAATGCTAACAATAGCACTTGATTGACAGTCCAGAAACGGTGCAAAGACGGCGGCGGGTGATGCCGGCGATGGCTCCTCGGATATAAGCAAACTTGGGTTAGAGACCAGATATGGAGGGGGAGAAACGGGGAGGAAAAGTGGAAATGATACTTGATCCGTTACCAACACCCAACCCCCATCATTATTTTTTTTATTATTATCCAGATGATGAATCCAAAGGTTGTGCCGGTCAGCTGTCGCGGACTTGCGGTACGGCCGACTTCAGGGGGTCTGGTCTCCTCCAACCGAAGTATGGCCGTAGCAGTGCCAATGGGAAGCACGTCGTTTTGGTGGACCCCCGTTTTCTGATAGTAACCACCTCCTATCGCTTGTCAATTGGACAACTCTCTGTCGCTCGCTCTCGCAGAGGCCATTGTTATCTTACTGTTCGTAGACCAACATCCACCGCGCTGAACTCATACATCGCTGCTTGTAGCAGGCATAAATAGGTAAAAATGGGAAGCGGAATTAAAAGGGGATTACATCCCAATATGATGATATGCCTTTGCCTCGGGTGCAGTGTAACCGGAACAGTCATCCATGAGTTATCTGCTTGCCCGCGCAAGTCAGGAACGCGTCAGTGGGGAACACGAGGCTACCAGCCCAACCGATGTTGGGAATAGTCTGCCCGTCGGACAAATTAGGCTCCTTACTAGCAGCCTACAATGGCACGGAGCGCACTAGTGGAATATCACGTATTCATCCTGCGCCAAACAAGCAAGATAGAGTCGGGCATGGATCAATCCAAGAGATTTGAGTCGATTTCGAGGATTTCAAGTTCTATGGGGAGTGGGAAAGGGAAATGTATGATCCAAGCGACCGGAAGGCAGCCGTGAGAGGGGGCAAGCCAGCAGGAAATTGGAATCGGTATTCGGTTTTCTTGACGGAGATTCGTACTTTTGTCTCTTTATCGCCTATTGGAATAATAGGGAGATCCTGTACCGGAGACGACGCACCCACGCCTTGGTATTCCGCTCGGTAGGTTTGCGCTGTGTGCTCGCAAGTCATCGGGACATGTCGACGCGCGAATAATGACAGTGCTGCTGCTCGTAGTCCAAACCATCTAATGGCTGTGCAGTTTGACGAATGATCAATGCTATAGCCCATGCGATCGCATCTTCAGTTCACATCTCAGCTTAGTGGAGTACTGTACAGTGCATACCCATTTTCCTTGAGTTGCTCCTTGGGACACTCTGTGTCAGCGGCAGACACCCTTACGGTAGGGAGGAGGCTGGGGAGGGGAACTAAGCTGGGAAACCCACACTCAGTGGACTCTGGAGTCTGGAGGGTGTATCCTGGGCTTGGCTGTACCCATCACCATGAACTTTATCGCGGATTTTATTGGACTAGACTTGAAAGATTTTCATGTCGGTGCAGCGAAAAGGAAGAGTGTGAGTGTGTGTGTGATAAGGTAGGGGACCAAATGGTTCAGCCCATCAGCAGATTAACGGGAGTACTCCGGAACAATCATCTCCCCAGCGAACGGTTCTTGACAATTAGGCCTATTGTTAGGGTGGTTCAATTGGTTGATATCCAGAAGCAGGTCGTTCACCTGTGCAGCATCAGAAGTCCAGGACACAGTGAGGGTGGGCTGAAAACCGATTATCTGATAGGAAGGAAGGCTAGGCGCAAGCTGAGAAGCAAAAGGGGACGCAGGAAATGCAAGGCTCCAGTCTCGGAAAGCCTCTCCTCCTTAAGCAAGAGGTGATTGGCATCTGGTCTGGGTCTTCTCATACATACCCCGCGCAAGCGGGACCTGCTAACTAATCGACTACCGGTGAAAGTGATAATCGCGGTTCATCGGGAAAAGGAGACTACGTTCCAAACTTGAAGGTGTTTGTTGTTGCTTTTGATAATCTGTTCTACGTGCTGCAGTGGCCCTTTCACCCTCGGCTCGCCTCTCATGGTCATCTACCAAGTCTTCTATCAATAAGAAACAACCAGACGCGCAGAACGGTAGAAGTAGAAGAGCAATTGAACAAAGTCGGTCATAAAACAATAAGAGTAGACCACAAGCCCCGTAGAAGGTCACAAGGCGACTAATTATCATACAATATGATTTTGTTTGAAGTGGATCACAAGTAAAAATAATAAGCTTGTAACTTATCGATTTCCAATGCTCCGTAAGCAATGTAAACCCTCCTCCATCCGGAACATCAGCCATACGAGCAGTCAATGGATGTCGCATTATATCCAAAAGTGAGTGACAAGCACAGCTCTAATCGATACCATGCTTATCCTAACGCCAAGAGGGCTATCGAAGCTGCGCGAGACTTAAGATCGGACGAAAGAACCTACCTTGTTCAATGCTCTAGCTTGCTGGGCTCCTGAGTACCGTAGGCGCTTCTTCGAATGTCCACACATTTCTCATGCTGAGGGCGGAATCAAGCCTCCTATCCCCGGATATTACTCCGTATACATGGAGTAACTCAATTACATCGTAATGATACCACATAGCTGGTAAGTACTGTACTTGCGCGGTAAGGCTTGCTATGTAAGGCCTTAGTAAGTATCTTACTGTTTCGGATGCTGGCCGACTACCTTAAACTCAAGCGATGACTGCCCGTCGATCGGGACCTTTCCTAAGAGTGACTAGCCACCATGATTAGTACTGATACCTGACCCACAGGCGCCCTTGGGGTAGCCCGCTGATAGCCAGGCCAACAATTGAACAAGCAACCCTTCCTCATCGGGGGTGAAGCTGTGACCATAGACTAGCGGTAGTGTTCCCGCCCCTACATCGATGAATGGGTTTGTGAGGCTTGGAGCAGAGTAATGTCGTCCAGCTCAACGTTTGGCTGCTTGGACACAATAAACTCAGAATTTCGCTTGAAAACCATCTTGACTGCCCTACTGTATAGGGCAATGGTCTCAACAATGCAACCAACATGAGCAACGTGTGAGTGTATCGCTCTCGTAATAAAATCTCTATAAAGTGTGACTCAAGGCCCACCCTGACAACACATTGGCGAGTGAGCTTCCAGTGGTTGAGGGCGGCTCTCAAATCATCAATCGTTATTGTTCTCCGACGGACATCCATATGCACATGAAAGGGGCAATCTGCCAGTTCTGGCCCATCGATGATGTAGAGTTGCAGTGCAGCATCTTTTCTTTTTTTTTCCCTCTCTCTCTCTCTCCTTTTACCCACTTCATTGATTGCTTCATTCGCCTCTGGCTTGTGATGGCTGTTGCTTGCGTGCTGCATAATTCACTTCCCTTATTCTGCATGGGATGCGCATACTGGTTGGTATGCCAATGATAAGCGAGGTTGGTCTTGTCTCGCTTTCGGTACATCCCTGACTCGCGGGCTCGATGGCTTAAGCTCCAGAGACTACTGTGCTCCGTGAGTAGGCACATAACCACGGGCAGACCTTCAAGCTACCTACCTGCCTCATCGCTCTAAGCCTTAAGCGTGATCTGAAGTGCTCCACGTGCGCAGACTCAGAGTCCTGTAGTTGGCCAGTGGTTGACAGCGGTGTCTCACCAGATCAAGCGGCGGCCGCCCTGACACTTCCGAGGCGCGATACTATCTGAAAACGGAAGGTGGATAGCACAGGCTGGAGCTAAAGATCCATTCGATGACATGAGCCCATGTACAGCACGTGACCATGCCTCTCTCCGCGGAGCAGAGCGCACCTGGCAGGGTCAAATTGATACCATTTCAGTATCAGTTAAACGGACAAAGAGAGCCAGTGACCTAGTGCTTTCTCTCCTCATCTCGTCTCTGCGTCCCTGTGCGTAGGTCCTCATATGAAGATCTGCTATCTGATGCACCGTTAATTAGTGGGTGTCGAGAACCATACTCCTGGACTGAAAGATGAAAATACTATTCCGTACCTATGCATATCAAAGATGAAGGTACTGTACACTCGTCAATAACTTATCATGCATCTCGGCCCAGGAGCGGTAGGTTGGGTTGGGGCATTGCTCGCCTGCCATCAGCTTCCCGTGCTTGCTCAGAACATGATGGAAGACAGGACAGCTACCACTTGCCGAGGACTTCTCTACCTTGGTGGACGGTCGATGACCCATGCGATACAATACCGACTGCATAACCAAGGGGGACACTCTAGGATGGAAATGGTTATCATTCAGGTTTCCACACGGCTCTGCGGCTCTGTCTCCGGGCCTAGATGTGGAGCGAAGAATGGAGCCATGGATAGGGTTGTTTTGGCGCAACTCGCTATGTTGATAAGTCTTGACGCCGGAGGGAGGTTCGGAAGACGATTCGGGAACCGCCGCCCCATCTCTTGAATTCAGAAGTCCCACCCAGAACAGTGGCAGGAAAGGCAGCTCAGACGTCCAATGAGAACATTATCGACTTCCTCTATGGTGAGTCCTTTCGACATCGATGCAGTCGGTAGCTACGCTAGGAGCAGCTTAAGATAGCATAGCTTCAAGATCGCTGCACAGAGACAGACCCAAACTCGGTTCCACACCCGCCGCTCTCATGCTGTCTCACTGACAGGTGAGGCACGGGGGGGGGAGAAACCGGCATGAGCTTGAGTGGGAGATCAAGTTAACAGCATATCGCGCGATCAGCAGCGCAATCAGACGATCCCACTTTGTTCCAACCTGCCGTGAGCATCTGGTTCTGGACTTATGGTAGAAACCAAAGTACAGTACGTACATACAGTACGTCCGTAGTGGTATAGTTACTGACTGGTTCCGGGTCCGGGCCGGTTCTCGGACTGCCAAGCAGATTGTTGTATTTGACCAGACCAACAGCAACAACAATTTTGAGTGGGCCACTACTCGGGCGATCAACAAGTCATGGATGATGGACTTGATGGGAGGCTTTGCATCAGAGTCAATAAGAATATGATTATTCTGCACAAAAAAAATAATAATAAGTAAAAAGGGTAAAAAAGTCTCATGCAGAATAAAAGCACCAATAGGATAAATCAAGACACTTTCCCCTAGGTAACATCACTTGAGCAAGCAGCAGCAGCAACAACAACAAACCATGAACAGACACAGACCACTGTTCCCGACTCGATTGTCGAGATTTCACTTGAGCCATTCAGTGACATGGTGAATGTCTCAAGGTCGATATACCTACTGTCTTCGGCCGGAGATCCCGCCAAGATTTAGCTATTGATTCTGAACGACTCGTGAGGATTTATTCTCCTTCTGTATGGGGAGTCGTTATCCCCTTTACCAAATTGGGTCCAATGCAGGCCCATCGTCAGCATGCCGTAATTCCTCGACGCTTTCTATCATCAGTACAGAGTATAATCTATTTATGCTGTCGGTTATATTACTTTTTGCCTCTCTACCTGCGTGCTTTGCCACTATGGCGAAAGGTAACATGTTCCATGCATATTCTACGCCTGCTCTAAAAGCAGGTCAGGCTGAGAAGCGTGTCGGTCGGTCGGTCGGTTGGCGAGGCATAGGCATGGGCATGAGCATGGGCATGGGCATGGGCATGATTGGGGGCTAGCTGACCAGCGTCGGTTCATGCCATCCATTATCTCTTATTACGTTAGTTCATAGGTGGGCCAGTCCTGTACTCCGTAGTGTCTAGGCTTTCCCTAAGCTTGAGCCTTGAAGCCCTCTGTTTCCCATATTATTATTGAGATTCTTTTGTCGATTTGACACTATCGGCGGATATCCCGACTTCCGCATATTGAACCATTTAGGACCGCCTAACAGTACTCCGTACCCGAACCATAAAGAAAGACAAAGTAAGTTAACACATACTCTTTTTTTTTTTTTTTTTTTTTCTCTTTTCCTTTCCTCCTCCCCGGTTCCCCTGACGTTTGTGACTTCGCCGTACCTCTAACCTGGTCGGGATAAGCGGGGTTTTGCCTAAAGCTGCATTTGCTTCCAGGCCGCTGATTCGCAGTGGATGGGGAAAATGATCCCACTAGTTGTAAGCCTAGCGGTATTTGACCGAGACCAAGGAGACTACCTAGTAAGGAGACCCAGTTTCCGGTACATGGTGACACTTACTGGTACTGTACTGTACATGAAGATACAAGTACCCGCAATAGCTTTGAGGTCCCGCTTACATGAACATACCTAACAAGTAACTAACAACTGTACTCCGTACTCCGTAGTTACCCAACCCAACTTGAAGAGGCACACCGAGGTACATTTCAATCTTCATCCCATCCCCCCAATTCCTCCCACCCATGTCGCGGAGGACCTTGGCTTGCAGAAACCTGCATTGCTCGGCTACTCGATGTACTCTTCAGTCTTGCCATGGATGGTAAATGGTGTGGGGAGTTCCTTCCTATATGATTTATGCTGCCTGGAGCATCCCTGAAGCGCGAATGACCACGTCCAAGCACAACAGCACCACCATCAGCACCACCATCAGCACCACCATCACAACTCAAGACAACAACAATCATCCATCAGCCCCAATTGAGTTGATATGGACCTCCTGACTCAGTCCGCTCAGCGCAGATGAGGTGGGATTGACTTGACCCACTTCTGGGAAAATCCGGAGGATTTGTCATTGTGGATTAATTACGCGATTATCTTACGGTAAGATAATGCCTCCCACCCTGGGTTCTCGCCCATCACTGCGATAACATGACCCTCCTTCCATTCGATCACGTTTTCCCTCTCATAATGGAAACTGTTCAGCCGGAGTCAACAGTCGTGGTGCGTTGGTTGGAAACAGAAGCATCTGTCTTGCTTCAACAACTGACCATACTTTCAAGCCGGTGAAACCACTAGATAGATCTCGGAAATGATACTCCACAATCCACATCCTCCCCCGGGACCTTCTAAGACAAGCACAACAGTACGGTAGGGGAGCGAACCGGACTAAAATCCTCGCAATCTCAAATCATGACTGATAGGCAGCACTTCCTCCCCTCCCCCCCCGCAGTTGAGCCTCTCTCCGACCCCGGACGGGCTTGGCCTCGCTCGCTCGCGGATCGGCAAATCTTGGTCCGGTTAGCATCTGGGGACAAGGCGCTCCTTCTCCTCCATCAACAACGCAGCTGGCGACTGCTGGATGTCGCCATTTTTGCCGACCTCGGTTAGCAGTTATCCGCTCGCCAAATAAGTGACTCTCTCCTGGCACTCCTGCTGCATCCGAAGTCGCCTCTGCTGACCTACGGAGCAACGCCAGTTTGCCGGGGGAAAGGTCTCCGTGGGGAAGCGAAGTCGCAGGTTCGTCTGACGGACTGACCCTACAAGGCCTGCGAACGTTTACCTGATGGCACGATGCTCCTCCTCTAGGCGGGGGGCAAATCAAGTCAAGCTTTGCGTATGAGATGCAGGTCGGCTTAGCCAGAGTCCACTGAATGCGCTACCTACAGAATTGACAAGTGGAAAATTAATGTCCGTCTAGCTGCAGCTGCATGGCTGCGATTTCTCCGCAGTCAGGATCTATATGCGGGGTCGAGTGCGGTCGCTATGACCCCAAAGCGCGAGTGCCTTCGCACGCAGTGTGTATAAGAAACCGTAGAGACGGCGGGGAACGGGGCCTGCTGGCGGTCCTACATACAGCTTTTAACATTGTGCAAGGACTTCCATTCGAGCCATAACTATGCTCGCTCTCTGGCAGTGCCTGGCCCTCGCGGTTATTCCTACAGTATCAGCATTCTCCTCCGGTTCGTCTCAGAACAGGGCGTTCGACTGGGACTCGACGAAATACCTGTCGGTGTTTCCCTGGGCAAATGCACCCTAACTCTGGCTGATACTTGAGCATCAGAATAGCGTTCGGTGATTCCTACACGTACGTGCAGGGAACTCACGGACACCAAAACTATAGCTTCATCGGGGATCTGCAGAACTTCGCATACGATGCTCGGACCCTGCTAACGGATAAGATCGTTCAGAACCAGGTTTGAAACCATGTTTCTCTGGTGATTTTCTCGCGGCTATGGCCAGTCACTGACCGAACGTGCTGGATGGAATGTAGACAGCAACGGCGGAAGGAGGGCCCAACTGGGTTGAATACCTCACTGGCTGCGGAGTGGAAGATGGAATCATCTCACCCTTTGACTGCGAGAGACAGCTCTGGGACTTTGCGTTCGCGGGGTCTGATATCTCCGTTGCATAGTATGTATTCCTTGTAGACGAAACATGGACTATCGGGGAGCTGACACCTCCATCACCCCAACAGCACCCCCCTCCACCACAACTACACGGTTTCTCTCGTCAACCAGGTGACCCAATTCACGACCTACGGCCAGCCGGTCCTCTCGCGGCACATCTCCGCGCCGCAGACCCTGGTCGCCATCTGGATCGGGATCAACGACATCGGCGACAGCTCCAAATACGCCGTCGACTTCCCGGCCTTTTACGACACCCTCATCACCACCCTCTTCGCCTCCGTCCAGGAGATCTACGCCCAGGGCTACCGCTCCTACCTGTTCGTCAACCTCCCGCCCCTCGACCGCACCCCGGGCAACCAGGCCCTGAGCCGGCCCTACCCGAACGCCACGCAGGTCGCCTGGTACAACGACGCGCTGGCCCGGCACGCCGCCGCCTTCCACCGCAACCACACGGACACGGCCGTGCACCTGTTCGACGCGCACCGGACGCTCAGCGAGATCATGGACCACCCCGCGGCGTACGGCATCGTCAACACCACCAACTTCTGCCCCGGGTACGACCAGCCCGATATCGCGTGGAACTACCGGGCGTACGGGTGTCCGACCCCGCTGGAGGAGTACTTCTGGTTCAACTCGGGGCATCTGACGAGCCATGTGCATCGGATCCTTGCGAATGTGTTGGAGGGGGAGCTGAGGGAGTGGTCGAAGTGAGGGTGGTCTGGGGGTGGGGGTCGAACTCATCGATGATCTAGTAGACATACTTCGGCTTGAAAAAATATGCTTTTCGTGCTTTATTCGAGACTGACGCAGGTAAGACTCCGTAGCGTGGTCTACCATATCAATCTCGGACCTATATGTAGTTAAGTTGTGTATATACATACCACTGGCGCCTGCTTATTGGTCCTCGGGTATGTCAGCCACTTGAGAAGTCGAGCATGCTACCACTTGAGTATACCTTCCTCCTGTACGTTGGATATACGGACCTGCTTACCGAATTTCGTAAGGTGGTCGATGGTACATCCTCCTCGCCAGTGCGGATCCATAGAACTATATAAACACACGGGGGACCCGTCAACCAAACATCTCAACCAGAGACCAACGACCAACAAACCACAACCCCCCCCCAAAAGCCGATACACACAACCAGCAAACACGGCCCATAAAGCCCACCACCCCATCAACCACGTAAATCCCACAGAAAACCCACAGCACCAAGACAAGACGAGCCCACCCCAAACCCACCAACAAACCACCAGTCCACCACCAGCAACCACGCAGCACCAAGCCCGACGTCACCATCAGATAAGCAAGCGTCCCGAACACCGCAAGATAAGCACCAACTCTTAGATCGCGACTGACCTCACGATGACCACCAGCGCTGTTATACCCCGGGCATGACGCAATGAATCATCAACGCAGACTGCAAGCCATATGCCAACAACGTCCGATATGGTGTAGTGGCTAACATCGCCGTCTCTCACACGGCAGCCGGGGGTTCGATTCCCCCTATCGGAGTGCAACAGCAGGGTCTTCTAGACCTTGAATTTCTTTTTTCATGGTTCATGCTAGGTATCACTAATGCAGGAATGCTTTTCTATGTATGCTTTTTTATCCGGTGCGGAAAGAAGGTAGGTACTGTATGTGGCGGTAGCATGAAAACTGCTGATTCATGGTAGGTAGCCAGCCACTCGACAATCAAAAGTCGAGATGGGGTGGGATAGTCAATGTTCTTTAAAAGGTATCTTACAAGCGAAGCTAATATCCTTAGTAGACAAGGCAAGCAAAACACCAAAATTACATCGCAACGGCCCCGTCACCCAGGTCAAATTACAATTGAATGACTGACTGGAGGGTGACAATCGGTGACGGATCACCCCCTACATTAGCTTCCAGTCCCGGTACCCGGGGCCAAGTATCACGGATGCACATGCCTGGTGGTTGGTTTGCAGCTGCAGTGCCCGCCGCTGCAACGGACCAGACCATCTAGTAGACTATTAGGTATAACGTCTCGTATTCCCTTGCAGGCACTAATGCCGGTGACCCAGTCGTGCCGCCGACTGGCGCAGAAGCTGCATGGCTGCCGCTGGATCCTATCACGATCCCTTTTGAAGATGAAGCCTATAAGACATGTGACTATCCTGACACAAATTGTGCCGTTTCGGTATTCATTTCAGATAGGTACATTTTCTCCAATTATCAGTATGCAAAGGAAAAAGCTACACACTATCTAAGAACCAGCTGCTGCATGTCAAGCCGGAAATACAGAACTTTTGTGAAAGAACACACATAAAACAGAGATTAACGCATACCCACAAACCGGGGTGTGACCGATGACCCCTGATCCCAAGGAACCAAGGCGTCTCCTATATGGTTAAAACACGCAACGTAAAGAGTCTATCGTGATATCGACGAACGCCGCCCGTACCGAATTACGAAAGGAAAAAAGCCGGATAATCATGCGCAGGCAAGGACGAAAGGGAAAGCAGGTCTACCAGTGTGAAAAGATACAAGCTCAGTGACTGAACTGGGCGTCGGGCACAGTTTACCAACGACGGTTGCCGCCGATGGGAGCAGCGTTGGACGCGGTGTAGTTGTTACCACCACCACGGCCACGGCCACGGCCACCCCAGCGACCGTGGCCACCGTGGTGACCGCCGCCGCCGCTGTAGCGAACCATCTCAGCAAGACGGGGATCGATCTGCTGCTTAGCCTCAGTAAGGATGGTGACCAAGTCACGAGCCTGCTTAGAGTCTGCAAGAAAGGAGTCAGCGCAAGTACATTCAAGGAGAGACGGACGGCAAACTTACTTTCAGTGGTAAAGAAAGTGACAGCGGTTCCCTTGTTTCCGGCACGACCAGTACGACCAATGCGGTGAACGTAGTCCTCGGAGTTGTTGGGGTAGTCATAGTTCAGCACATGGGTAATGTCGCGAACATCTTTAAGAAAACATGTAACGTTAGCAAACAGAGCATTAGTCAAGCGAGCAACGTGGCCGAGGAGGTGCCCATTCTCAGTCGTGTGAGACTTGATGCATCACTCTCTCTTCTCGGGACTTTCATCGAAGATCCGTTGTGGACGAGTCCAAGGGGTGGCAAAATCGCGGTCCTAGAGCAACCTTGGAATGCAGCGTTCAATAGGTCGGTAGAGAAAGAACCCCAACTCTCTACCAACCGAGATCACAAGTTGTAGACGGGTGAATCAGAACAGAGATACTAGTAACATCTGCTACACTGCACTGTGAGTCCAAGGTTCTCCTGGCTTGAGAACCATTTCAGGAGACCCGACATAGCCTGGACGAGTCATTTAAACACCAACTTAGGGTGGAAGAGAGTCGAGCACCGTGCCATTGTCACACAACCTCAATCGGGTGGTGCCTTGGAGGCGACAAAGGAAGGGGAGGGGAGGAGGGGGGGAGTTTGCAATATCATCATACCAATACCACGGGAAGCCACGTCGGTAGCCACCATGATTGGGCTCTTGCCCGTCTTGAATTCGTTCAAAACCCAATCTCTTTCTTGCTGTTGCTTGTCACCGTGAATGGCTGTGAAAACACATGTTAGCTCATGTTCTGGTAGGAAAAGGTGTTAAGGTAAACTTACAAAGGGCGGGCCATCCGTCCTGGCGGAGGAAGCGGGTGATCTCGTCAGCGATACGCTTGGTACCAGTGAAGATCAGACACTTGTTGCCGCGGTTCTCCATGATCTTCTCGAGGTGCTTGATCATGCGGTCACGCTTCTCGAACTCAGAGACAACCTCGACGATCTGAGTGATACGGTGGTTGGCAGAGAGATCCATGGAACCGATGTTGACCTGGATGTAGTCGTTGAGGAAGTCAGACGCAAGCTGACGAACCTCCTTGGGCCAAGTGGCGGACCACATGCAAGTCTGACGGTCGGGGCGAATCTGGGAGATAATCTTGCGGATCTGAGGCTCGAAACCCATGTCCAGCATGCGATCCGCCTCGTCCAGAACGAGATAAGTGACACGACGAAGGTTGGTGCGGCCAGCCTCGAGCATGTCAATCAGACGACCGGGAGTGGCAATGCAGACCTCGACACCGCGGCTGAGGTCGCGAATCTGAGGGCCCTTGGGCACACCACCGTAGACACAGGTGTTGCGAATACGGGAGGACTTGCCGAACTTGGAGATTTCGGCCTGAATCTGAACCGCCAACTCACGAGTGGGAGCAAGGATGAGGACAATGGGTCCATCGCCAGGGGCGAGCAGAGGCTGGGCGTTGATGTGAACGATAGCGGGCAGACAGTAGGTCAGGGTCTTTCCGGAACCAGTCTCAGCAATACCGACGACATCACGACCAGAGAGGGCCATAGGCCAACCCTGAGATTGAATGGCGGTGGGGCGGTCGAAGCCCTGGGCCTTGACCTCGCTCAAAACGTACTGAGGGAAGCCAGCCTCGTCGAAGGTCTCAACGGGGCGAGGGACGTTCTTGCCCTGGACAGCCATCTCCTTGCTCTTGCGGAACTCGTCGACTTCGCGCTGGGAGCGAGCAGCAACATCGGGGTGCTCCTTGTAGAAAGACTTCTCGAACTTGGGAAGGGAGTCCATGTCTAGTCAATTCATATTAGTGATTGCAAAGAGATGGAAGTGCAACCTGCGAACTTACCCCATTCTTGCTTCTTCAAGCCGGCGCCGAGGTTGGACATTCTGTCACCACCAGCAGCGCCTCCACGGCCACCACCGTAACCACCACCGCCATAGCCACCGCCGCCGTAGCCACCACCACCACCACCTCCGTAGCCGCCACCACCACCACTGTAGCCACCGCCGTTACCGTAGCCACCACCACCGCCGCGGGAGCTGCTGAGATGTTAACTATTGCTGACCTAGAAAACAACACAAGAGATCCTAATAATGACATACCGGTAAGAATCACGCTGGTAGCCGCCGCCACCGCCGCCGCTGCCGTTGTAGGAGGACATGCTGAGGTTTTTGTTGTGTGAAGTTGCAAGTTTTTAGGATTGGAAGGCAAAAAGTAAGCCGAACAGGAAAACGGTGGGAAAGAGAGAAACGACTGAGGATAAGATCAGACGAAGCGACACACCCTCTAGGAGACGAGAGGATATGACAAAAGAAGGTGATGAGGAGTAAGAGACAGATGGGAGGGAAAGAGAGATGAAAAAGAGATGTGTTATAGGATGGGAGGAAAGAAGAATGAGGATGAAAGGAGGGAAGGAGGAAGAAAAAGAAGAAAAGGAAGGCGACGGGGGGGGGGAAAAGGCGGGATCTTTGAATGGAAGAAAAAAAAGAGGAAGACTGGAGGCAAAACACCGCCTGATTGGGGATAGCGTAGAGGCAACACCGCCTTTTTTTCCTGGTACTCTGACTAATTGGTCCATTGAGGCTGGGTACTTTTAGTGACTTGTAAGTCCATTCATTTTCAATGGGTGAAACAGCCTCTTTGTTTGTATCTCCTTGTACACTTTTATCTGTACACAATGAACATGCTCATAAATAGTATCTCGGCAGTTGATAAATCGACTCGAGTTTTGTGCTTAGTAGTCTAGTTCTCATCCGATGTACTCTACTCATACACAATCTTGAATCGCTCCTTTTTCAAAGCGACATTCACAATAGTCCGTCATATTGAAACAGAAAGAGTGAATAGTCCCACCAGCTAACAAGATTCGCCACCACCCAGACCCATGTCCCAGAATCTGATCTCCAACTCCGTTGCCCGCACGAAAATCTTAATCAGTTCCTCCATCCGACTGGGCGAGACCTCTCGCATATGCTTTTCAAGCAATTCTAGAATTCGTCATGTTAGCGGGTCCCCATCGCCCCAATCTTTCGCCTCCTGCAGGGAAGGGAGATCCCCAAGGTCGTGCTTGCTTACCAGACCCCAGACGCACTGCCTCGGTGTAGTCGTCGGCGACATAGTTCTCAACCCACTTCCAGTACCGGTTACCCTCCCGCACCGAATCTTGGTCCGTGTAGAGTCGTCGTGCGATAGCTCCGTAGCCGATCAAGCAAGGCGCAAGGGCCATCTGTAGGGCGAGCCAATCTCCCGACTGGCCAACGTCGAGAATATACCGACTATACGCCGTGCACGCTACTTGTACGTAACGACAGAGTCCCCGTTAGCGATTCTGCACCAAGTAACGTATGATAATGGCCGTCAGCGACGGGATGAGAATGGGTCACGCACCAATGGTTTCCGGAGTCTTCTCCATTTCCTCTTTGGTCAGTCCAAAGGAGGCACAATAATCTAGGTGTAACGCTGTTTCGCGTTGGATATGTAGGACAATTTGCGCAGACTGTTCGCGTGAAATGGTCAGTATCTTGGCTTGTCGACCACCGGGTGACACCTCCTCCACCCTCCACCCAAGTAGGATCGGAGCGCGCTTGTGCTTAAAAACATACCGCGGCAATCGACTCCATGCTCCCCGCCTTGTATGCAGCCAAAGCGTTGCTCCGTGCGAACTGAATCTAGTTCAATTCGTCAGCACTGGATCTCGTCAAGTGAGAGAAAACTCGACATGTCATACCAGATAAAGATAATCCTGGACGAGATATGACTTGAATCTCTCCAAAGGGAGTGTGCCATCGCCCAACTGCCGGACAAACTCATGCTCTGTGAACTTCTTCCAAGCTTCCTGAACGTCAGGGCGATCCAGCGCATACTCTATGAACCGACCGCTAGATGACTCGTCAGCACCACATGCTCAACGCCTTCCCTCAGAGTGAAAAAGGCCAAGTGACTCACGGTGCAAACGGCAGGCTATACAACGAATGGAAGTGATTGATCGGCCCACTTCCCTTGCCGATATCGAAGCTGGTCTTGATACCGGCCTCAACGAACCGAACAGCGCTCTGGACGGCGCGCTTCATGCCTTTACCGAGGGCGAGATTGGCCGCAATAGCCGAGGCCAGCGAACAGCCCGTGCCATGCGTGTTTTTTGAAATGAGGAAGTCCGTCTCGAACAAGGTGACTTCCTCGCCGTCATACAGTACATCAACGACGATGCACGCATCTTCCTGATTTTGCGCGGTCTTGTGATCTTTCGTGAGGGGCAGATGGCCGCCCTTGAGCAAAACTCCCTTTGAGCCCAAGGTACAGATCTGCTTGGCCAGCTGTACCATTCCAGGGAGGTCAGTAGGCTCGGAAACATCAACTCCGGAGTCCTTAAGAAGTAGCAGAGCTTCTGGGATGTTCGGAGTGAGGATGGTAGTCAGAGGTAGCAATTTCGACCGCAGAACTTGTACAGCGGCTCCCGGGAGCAGTTGCGATCCACTTGTTGACACCATGACCTGTAGTCCCAGTATCAGAACGGCGAACATATGCTGCATACTGGGGGAATGGACATAGCTACCGGATCCAGCACCACCGCAGGAATCTGATGCGTGACCAGAGCCTCGGCAATAACATTGATTGTCTCCGCGGAGGAGAGCATTCCTTTCGCCAGTCAGCGTACGCACGCATATGATACCACCAGCAAGGTTTCTGATGGAGTCAAGCAGAAAAGCCACTGAGCCAGAAAAGTCAATGGCGAGGAGGTGAGGAACCACGAACCCAGTTTAACTACATCCGCACCGACATCTTCAAGGCCAGCATTGATCTGTTTCTTAACAAATTCAGGCGGAATGATGAAGATGTCTTGCACTCCCAGGGTGTTTTGCGCCGTGAGACCGGTGGTTGCGGTCAGTGCATAGACGCCGTGAGCAGCCAGAACTCTCTGGTCCGCTTCTAGACCCCTGATGTCAAAGGAATTGATTGCATTAGTTGACCAGGCCTTTGGAGAGAACCGTGCACAATTTGACGTACGCGCCACCCGAGCTGTCCGACCCCGCAATGACCAGAACTTTCTTAACCGACATGATAACTGTCGAGTAGCCCAGATTGGAATCGAGTTGCCCTGAATGATTGAGAGAACTGGTGGGGATGCAGATGTTTACACACCGAGCGTGTCAACCCGGCAATGGATGGCGGGAGTCACTGATCGGGGACCGGAGGAGTGCGGGGCCCGGCTTTTGGTGATAAGATAAAAAAAAAAAAGAAAAGAAAAACAGCTTCGGTCTCTTGACTATGCCTTTACTACGGAGTACTACTTACTACATGATACCCTACAACAAAAAATCCATAGATGCAAAATTGAATCCATGCCTATTCACCTTATCATGCTGTCGTTCCAAATCTGGTAATACCCGCTATCCACATAATAAAACAGAAAAGTTGTCGATATGTACAAATGGAAATAGATCTATTAGAAACCAATCATGGCAGCATGAAGCGGAACAGACTATCCATCTCGACCCATTGTCGTCCGCATTTCTTTAGATATGCGTCCACGACCCCCTTGACAGTTCCAAACCGGGTACGGTTGAACTCAACTAACGCTGCCACACTGTCCTTCTTCTCCGCATTCCCATCCTTCTCAGCCGCGGTTCGAGCCTTGTCGACATCCCAAAGTCCAGCAAAGTAGAGTAGCTGGTTGTACATCTGCTTTTCCGTGTACTCGTAAGTCATGCGACCAAGACAACCTTCAGCGTGGCCTTTGGGACCTAGGCAGCGGTGCCCGTACACACTGATCTGACGCGTCCGGTTGCCGCAGGCCGTATCGTCGCAGACAAGCCAGCCCTCATAGTATTTGGAAGTCTGGGCCCGGATCTGGGTTTCCAGCTGCGCAACGATGGTCAAAACCGAGAAAGGTTTCTGACAGGCTTGGTTGGGGCAAATAACGCCATTCGCTGTGCACATATGAACAGACCCGAGCAACCCTTCGAACACCGATTTCTCCTTGCATGACCGACAGGTGAGGGTGAGTCGAGCTGCACTTTCGAAACGGACCGAATCGGGAATTTGCGATTCCAGCGGGAAGATGTCAGCGTTCTGCTGGTTGCTTCCACTAGAGGTGTTGATCTGATATTTGCGCACATCCAGGCCCAAACACTCCGCCAACCGAACAGCATCAGTACCGGGAATAGGAGCACATAGACGTTCAATAGGCGGGAAGATCTGCTTGAGCAAATAGAACTCGATGTCGGGCTTGAGTTCCGAGTCGGGCTTCATCACGTCCTGCAGTGTATACGAACGTTTGGCCGGCGGGAGGGATGCAGTTTCCGAATCCCCACTGGTCACGATGTAGGAGATAACGTCATTGGGACGAACCGTCTTTCCCCGAGCTAGCTCGCGCAGGGCGACCTGTACTGGAGGCATTGTCTCCTTGTTGGGGTATTCCTCGGGTCGCTTGGAGAGTTTCTGGGAGAAATGTTAGCATTCTTTGGTCTTTACTGTCCTCAAACCGATAGTCCATACCGTATAAATCACGTATTTCTGCACAGGGACAGTGAACTCTCGCATCTTGCCTGCAAGTTCGCGCAGGTAGTCATGGATACGGTTGAGAACAAGCTCTTGGTCCTCGCCAGAGAGAACCTCATTCAACAGTTTCTGAGAAACTTCCTTCGACAGTGAGCAGTACTCACGTCTCTTCATGTCGAGACCCTTGACCTCCAGCTTGTCAACGTACTTGCCGTCTACTTCTGTGATGTTAACAGCAGCGTACTTCTTCTTGGCATGCAAGAGGAGACGCCGGAAGATGTTATCGATATCGATCTCCAATAGCCGGTATCGCTCATTGACGGACTTCTTGAATTCCTCACCGACCTTGATCGCATCACTGATAGTGTCCATGTTCGTGTTGATCATGACGGAGTCAGTATCACCATAGATAACACGGAGTTGTTTCGACTCCGCCAGCTCCTTGGTGCTTCTGAGAATCTCACGCCCCTTGAAGGTAGTAAGCATGGCCAAGGGACGAGCATAAAAGCGACTCTGCGTGTAACCCAAGCATCCGTACATGGAGTTGGCCGTCAGCTTGAAGGCCAATTGTTTCGTGTCCCAGAGAGCTAGCTGCTCAGGCGTCGCGCGCTTGTCTTTCATCAACTTCTTCACCTCACGTCGACGACCGACCAAGGTTGCGATCAGGCGAGGCAGAATACCCTGCTCTTGCTCTGACGACGGGACCTCGGGTACTTTCTCCTCTTTGTCATTCTCGGCCTTGATATAGTTGTCAGTAGGTGTTCAGTGTTTGGTCGAGTTCATACACTCACAGTCGCCGTCCGTTCCACGGTTGTGAAGCAGATATTATACTCCTGAATAATACTCGGGTACAGACTGTTGAAGTCCA